GCCAAGCCATGTTATTTTTAATTTGCTTCAGGAAATAAAAGACGACTTGGAACCCTCAACTAGGAGTCACGCAATACCAGGTCTATCAAACCTTAATTTTTTGGCTTTCGGTTCTTTTCAATGTACTGTGGTTTCTTTATTCTTTATTTGCAACTACGCTAATTTGCGCTGCACTTGGTATATTGCGTTGGCCGATATGTAAATGAGATGTTGCGTCTGTGTTCTTTAATTTGTGCATTGTTAGTAAATCACCCGCAGAAATGTCCCCTCCCATTGGGCTTTCGGTTCTTTTCAATGTACAGTGGTTTCTTTATTCTTTATTTGCAACTACGCTAATTTGCGCTGCGCTTGGTATATTACGTTGGCCGATATGTAAATGAGATGTTGCATCTGTGTTCTTTAATTTGCGCTTTGTTAGTAAATCGCCCGCAGAAATTTCCACACCTATCGGCGCTGGTTTTTGAATTGAGCTCTCGCGCTAATTTGCCCTGCTTAGTAAAACTGGCCCAAAATAGCCTATTTATATTAGAATATCACTTTAAAATATAATTCACGCAAATAGTAAAAAGGACTTGGAAAACCAATTTATGTTTTCATTATCTGTGATCGCACACTTTATTTCACTTTCCGCAGGCATTGGCGATATGTAGGCTACTATATATAGCTAGTCAAGTCAGCACGCTGATTTAATTAGTCTTACTAAAAGTTTATTAAAAAGCAATGATTTTGGTGATGCAAACGTGGTCATTCATGCATATTTGCATAAAGTTTTATATTTTGTTTTCGATTTGATGGTTTATTTCAATTTCAAATTTCAAGCTGCCTAATATACAAAAGTAGCTATATGAATGATGTTCTACTCTAATGACCAAAATAACTATTTAAGTTATTATGCTATTAAAAGTTCTTATGCTATTATTAGAACAATGCCACTCAGTCAGGTGTGCCAAAACTCTTATTTATAAACGTCAATATTTCATACCAAGTAAATAAACAATTCCTTTCTAAAACTGTGGCTGTTGTTACAGAGCGAGCATGACAACCAGAGTGTGGATCCATCTGCAGACTTTTATTGTAAACAGCGTAGTCAGGAATAAGCAGGGGTCAAATCACCAGCAAACAGAGTCAAATAGAGTGGCACAGTAGAGTAATCCGTAAAACAGGCAAATGGTCAGGGCAGGCAGCAAGAGATCATCAAACAGAGAACAGGCAACGGCAAAACACAGGAACAAGTCTACACTAGGCAAGGCAAGGTAATCAGACAGGCGCTTGGTATGTAACATAGTTAACAATACTTCGCAACCTAACTATGGGTGAGTGTAACCTTTATAGGGGGCCAGATAGGGAGCAGGTGTAATTGTAATTAATGCCATGTGGTGGATTATGGGATTTGTAGTCCCATTGTAGTCCCAAGAGAATGGAGACAAGGACTGGCTCGTTACAGCTGTAATATTTTTTTTAGGTTTTTTGTGAGGGTCATGGTGGATATGTTGCTCTGAATAATTTTTATCTTTCTTTTGGTTGAAAATTATTTTATTTAAATATTTTTTCAAGTGTTTTGAATGTATTTCTGGTTTTGAATGTATTTCTCATCTTTTTGCTTATTATTTCATAATCTTTAATGGTGTATTTTGATGTTTTATTTGAAAGTGAAAAAAGTGAAAGTGACATGTGGCCAAGTATGGTGACCCATACTCGGAATTAGTGCTCTGCATTTATCCCATCCAAAGTGCACACACACAGCAGTGAACACACACACACACCCGGAGCAGTGGGCAGCC